CTCATTTGGATCTCTTTCATTTTTTTTCCTACAGCAAAACGAATGCTCCTGTCATCATTGTGCTTTTATTTCATTTATAATTGATTAGCTTTGGTTTATCTTGTATGCCTACCTGTTCTCATTTCCTCTTATTTCAATCACCCTATGTCACTTAACTGTGTGACTGCCTCGATTCCATTCCTCAATTGTCATGGTAATACTCCCAGGACTTAAGTTTGTTGATTTATTAATACGAATGAATAGTATGTCTAATAATGTTCATTCTTTTCGAAAGTAAACTAGTTTAGAGTGTGAATTAAGTGTTCAGAGTTAGTGGTGGGATGGCGGAGGCTACAATTGGGTCCATACATTAGGGCTAATTACAGTGTGCCGAGCTAATCATGGCTAGTTACTGCATGCCAAGTACGCAAAGTGCAGGGTTTGTGGGATCTCAATTGGGTGGTCCTCAGAGTGCAAAGTGCAGGATTTCCGTGGAAAATAACCTTTTGTAGGTTTCTGGCGCGCAAATTTTGGTGGGATCTGGGGAACGAATCATGGGAGAAGGGGGGGGGGAGAGACCCGGAAGCTTACTTAAATGTCTCTTACAAGGGAAGGATGGTTGGTCGAAGTGGCCTTTTGAGATGGGTTGTATACCATAGTGGAGGGCATAAAACGCTGTTTCCAAATTTCCTTATTTGCGGCGCGCTCCTGTACGAGGATTTATGAGCGTTTAAAGGAGCAAAAAATGAGTGTTTTTCTGGGATAAAACAGTCGCTAAAATCTTTCCAGCGCTTGAATGAGACAGCCGGAGTGCGGATATATCTCACCCAAGAGTATTTGTTCCATAGAGTGCTGGAAAGATTACCACTGGTCCACTTAAGCGCTAGGAATAATGTTACTACTGTTTTTATATTATTTTCACATTCAATTTTTATATCCAATATTTGCTCATAACTTCTCGTGCAGGGCGGCGCAGATAGGGAAGACAGATTTGGAAACAGCGTTTTATGATCTCCAACATGGTATCTTATACATAAAGCTGAATGTCTGTTTGTCTGTTTGTCTGTATGTATGTCTGTCTGTGTGTACGGATGTTCCGAATAGAAAATTCCATTTCTGAACCGATCCGGACCAAACGTGGCACACATACACTTCGGGCCCCGGCGGGTGTCATAGGCTACTTTTCGTCATCGATCGAAATCGATTTTATCGATTTTTTGCAAAATTTGAGCTACGGGGCTGGGAGTTGGCACAGGAGGGTAATCGAGCATGCCGATTACGAATATAATAATGACAGGGCAGGGCGGAGCCGGGTAAGTCAACTAGTATGGTATATAAATCATCTCAAATGGCCACTTCGACTGACCATCCTTCCCGTATTAGAACACAACACACCCACTGTCTGAGCAAAAATACATACCTATGTCGCAGGTTCATGTGTGCGTTCCTTCTACTCAGTACACTCAACACCATGCTAGTTTTGCACTCCGCTGGTTTGAAGCACATTATGTATTAGAACCCTAATAAATTCACACTTCGATCGCTCATAATTTTTTCAAAGAACCGCGCAGCACATGAGGAAGCTAGATTTGATATCAACTCAACAAGACGAACCTAATGCTATGCATTTCATTCGATTGCTATGGAATCCCAGGATTCTTCCATTGTTAGTCAAACGTGTACAGTCTGCGCGGAGTCCCGCCAGGCCAAAATTGGCATGCCGGGACTCCGCGTCGCTGAGGTTTCGCGGCCACGCCCACGGCCTGCTTCGCGCGCAGGCCCAGCGCTGCGAGCGCGCAAATTCACGCCGACGGTTCGGCCTGATCCCGATTGGAGCAGACTGTAAAGGCGACTCCGGCGGCAGCGGGCAGGCGGCTGCGGCAGTTATAACGAGCGCGGTCCCTGCCCTAACTGAGACGAGCGTGTATCAGATGTATCAGATCCAACTATGTGCAACACTTTTGGAGTTAGTTATATAGCACTTATTCTTTGGCAATGCGCAAGCTGTGTTATAGCTACTGCTCCATTGCTCTGCTACGTACTGCTATTGCTAGCAAAGACTAAGGGAATTGTTAACACACTAATGCTGGTTTCGTTAAGCCTCGGGCAGAGCTCACGCGATTTCATCGCCGCGATTCTTCCAAAACAAACAGTCGACTTTACTGCATGCCGACCATTTGCACTTGTGATAGTTCTCCAACACGACCAGTCGTGACTAACTATCACAACCGACATGCTAGATGATCGGAATGCAATGGACTCGTGACTATTTGTTTTGTTGGGAGAACCGCGGCGATGAATTCGCGTAATCTCTACCCGAGGCCCTAGACTTTCTGACATTAGGGTTATTGTGCTCAAGCTGTGCTGTGTCGTAAGGTCACTTGTGATTTGTTGTGCTCCTTGTGCCTTGTGCTCTGATTTGTCAATGATGCAACATGATGAGGAATGATGCAACATTTATCTTGCAAGTTTATCATGAACTAGCTGGCTTACCCGGCTCCGCCCGTTTCTGTCAAAACGATAAAGGTTCCATTCCTACCCCTGTGCAACCTTTCCCTGTGCCCATCTTTGCTTGAAATTCCCTATTCCCGCTGTGTTAGTAATCAGTATGCTCACCTACCTTCCTCACCAACCTCTAGCCCCGTAACTCAAACTTCGCAAAAAATCGATAAAATCGATAGAAGTAGCGGATGATTCCAAAAACTAATATGTATTCGTAATCAGCATGCTCGATTACCCCCCTGTGCCAACTCCCAGCCCCGTAAGTCAAACTTTGCAAAAAAATCGATAGAATCGATAAAACTAACGGACGTTTCAAAAACTAATATCGTATTCGTAATCAGCATGCTCAATCACCCCCCCCCCCCGTGCAAACTCCCAGCCCCGCATGTCAAAATTTACGAAAAAATCGATGAAATTGATAAAAGTAATCGATAATCCTGAAAAATAATTTTGTATTCGGAATCCTCATGCTCGATTACCCCCTGTGCAAACTCCCAGCCCCGTAGCTCAAACTTTGCAAAAAAATCGATAAAAGTAATCGATAATTCTGAAAAATATTGTATTCGGTCCCCATGCTCACTTACCCCCCTGTGCCGACTTCCAGCCCCGTAGGTGAACTGTGCAAAAAATCGATAAAAATCGATAAAATCGATATCGATCGATGACTAAAAGTAGCCTATGACACGCTCCCCGCCCCGAAGTGTATGTGTGCCAAGTTTGGTCCAAATCGGTTCTGAAATAAAAATTTCTATTCCGCACATATGTACATACAGACAGACAGACATACAAACAGACATTCAGCTTTATATATAAGATAAGCAATTTACAAGCGAACAAAATGAGGCAGTAACGCCAATGAGGTCGGACCATAGACTCACGCTTTTGGCGATTGCCGCTCCTCGTTAATGAAAGCCGCGGCTTTGTTTGCGGGGTGTATTCGACTCAAAGCCCAGTAAGAGCTCATATCATACTGAAGCATACGTAAGCGACTGGCATTGTTTTATGGGTTTGTTGAACGTGGACGTGATCACTAGGTACTCATTTCAAAGGTAGGACAGTTATCGTGAAGTCAAGAATTCATGGTTTGGTGTCTCTCCTCAAAAGCAGCGGCCTTGCAATAGTGGCTCACCATGCTCGCTTAAGCCTGCGCTGATCCCAAAATGCATAATGGAGGCCCAAACTGGCAAACGAGCGTGTTAAAAATCACTGTTTTGGTGGACGGAGGCGCAGAGCTCGCCGAGGTCGGATTCACGCAGCATTGCAGGAGACAATGAGTAAAGGATCAGCGATTGACCTCCTCTGATCGACCCTCGTAGTTTGCACCACACTTTAGCTATCCTCGGCTGCAGCACACAAACACATTAGCAGGGCATACATCTACCAATGCGTCATCTTTGCTTCGCAGAGTTCCGCACTGGTCAGTATGGAACGGTCAGGAAAACTTGTTGGGCTGCCCCCTTTCTACGACATATAGTCCTCTACCCTATGGCTCACAGAAAGGCTGGTTGAAAAGAGCTGAGAGAACTTATTATACACTCTGCATCCTTCAAAATTGCACATGCAACCTTTAACGCTGGGCAGGTGGTCATGAGCGGAACCGTGGTGAGAGGAGAAAGAGGCTTGGCCTCCCTCACCATTTTTAAGAAATCGGCTGCTGTCGTAGAAGGACGGACATACTTTAAATGTTCGATTGGTCGAAAGCTCGGCAAAATGGTTTTTTGCCAAATTTTGATAGTGTTAGTCTAGATTCTTTGAGGACACCATGACCTTAGTTTCACCCTCTAATCTATGCGCTAGCCTTGAAAACGTATCAAGATGGATTACCAGCCACGCCCACTCGCCGTCAGTGGTGTTACCTTGAAGCAAGCTTTCAGGATTTAGCATGAATTAGAGGTGGGACTGATACTATGGTGTCTTCAAAAAATTTACCTCGCTCTCTCGAAATTTGGTTAAAGTCTATTTGCCGAGCCACTGCCTTTGAAGGCATTGTCCGGGGCAAAAAGTCGATTTTGAGATTTTATGCATCCCGAGCTTATTCGCTATGCTGTATCCGAAAACCACACTGAAGAGCGAGAAAACACGAGAAGGGGTTTCAACACAGGAGGGTAATTAGCAGGTGGGCGGGTTTTTCCCACTTTGAATATCTTCTCGATTCCGCTAGCAGCCAGTGGGCAATTGCGAACACGTGAATTGAAATCGAAACCGGGAAGATCGCTTTGGAAGGTGGAAGCGTGAAAACACAGTGAGGAGAATCACGCCCACTTGGTGATTTCTCTTTTGCGTAGGGCCCTTTTTCACCGTTTTCGCACTCCTTGGTGTGGATTTTCGGATTAAGCATAGCGAATAGGCCCAGGTAAGCACAAAATCTCAAAATCGAGTTTTTGTCTGGACACTGCCTGTAAACCGATCAATCGTGTCTCAGTTTTGTGATAATCTAAATTATCAGAGAAATGCTTCGGTAGATTCTATGTCATACTTTTTTCCGTCAGTTAGAATATAGTCAAACATTTTGTCTTAAGCATCCTTCATGCTGTTCATGACGTCTGGTGTTCGCCCATTCGTACAAAATTTCAACTCAGTCATATGGTCAACGGCTGTCTTGCTGATAATAAGGTATCATTGTTGCTATTTTCTTCAAACAACGGAGTGCCAAAAGTTCTTCGAAAAAAACATCAGAGAGTATCAAGGACACGCTTTCATTGCGCTAAATTTTGCTGTTTTTTCATCAGATGCACTTAGCGCTGTAAATCATTTTTTCCAGTCTTTTCCTGAAGAACACTTGATTTTACATAGTACCTTGATTTTACATAGTACAACAACTAACTCTTTTCCAGTTTCTTTTGCTTACGACATGCTGCAAATCACGCGCCCAGATTAGCCGGCCTTGCCTTTTTCCTGTTCTCCCTGGTTTTGGCACTGACTTGCACAGGTTCGTCTGGTTGCGTATGTCTCTATCAAATCTTAATGAGTTCCGTGCTAACATTGGCCAGGAGATCTTTTGGGAAAACGCTAATAGCGAGTATTTTGCTTTATGAGAAAAATTTTTTTCATCACCAAAACTACCACTGCTAACGTTGCCGGTACAACAGGGCTCGACACAGCTGGCACCGGGTCAAGCTGGATATCGTTTTTAGCGCGGAAAGCAAAAGGAATATCGTTTTTTGGGGTCCGGGGCGGAGAAGAGCCGCAAGTATGCCGCCGGCATGCCACCGGCATGCTGCCCATCAAACAAACAAAGGCGTTGTTTTCAGCCAAAGCGCAATAGTATGACACCAAATTTGTTGTGTGCATGCGCGTTGGGAGACTCGAACTATGGCCCAAAAATTTGTGAAACTTATGTGAATGAAAGCTGTGCTGAACTTTTTTCTGTATTAGCTGGCACCGTGCCAGCTGGGTGCCAGCTGAGCTGGCACCGACACTTTGCTCACATAAGTTTTCATACTTTTTTTACATAAAATGTATCTACACCGTAAAAGTTTACATACAGAGAAGGAACAATTTCATAATGATTTCTTTTCGGTGTTTTATACCCATTTGAAAATTACTCGGTCTGCTCCGTAGTCGAAAAATCGGCTTTTTTTGCTTCTCAAGATGTGATTCAACCACTTAAAAATCTCAGAAAGCTGTGAAAAGTTGTTTCATGAAATCAGCATGCATGAAAACCGTACTACATACTTTTACATAACCTTAAATCAATGAGGGTTTTCAAAACAGGTCAAAGGGGACCTCGCACGAAATTTTCAAAATCAAACAGGACTTCGTTTTGAAATTTCCCTGGTGCCAGCTCGTGCTGAGCCCTACGGCACAACATTAATACTCATTATGCAGAAAACATTGCTTGTCTTTTCAGTGGTGACCGCCTATATGGACACTGAATTCTTGTATACCCTTTGTTTCATGAATGGATTCGTGTTTCTTTTTCATTGCATATATTGTGTACAGACTGTGCGCCCGCTTCAGTTCAAGCCTTCTTCGTTGTTTACGATTTTGCTATCGCTTGTCGAGGCTTGGTTCCTCGACTCTCTTCTTATGAAGTTGAACTTTGATTACATTTCGCATGTGGTAATATCCAGTGTGATTTGCATTTATGTTCATTGGAATATTCTGTATTTTTCGCACATGTTAACAACTGAGGAAGTCATTCAAGCATGTATCAAGGTATTTGTATCGCTTCCCAAATTGTTCTGATTTTTGGCTCGTTTTTTTCAAAATCATGCTTCATTGTTTTTTTTCAAATCTTCTACTTATGACGGGTTTACTATTGGCACCGTCCCGGCGTAGTGCTGTGTGCTCGATCTGCTTTACGCTAACAGGGCTATGTGTATTTTCGCGAAAGAGCACTGCCTTCCTCTATCTGGAGTATGAAGGTTTTTATACCCTAAAGTGACGTACCGAGGGGGGGTGGGGCGGGGGGTTTTTTGAAAGTTACTTAAATGTGTTATAAAAATGTGGAGAGGGCTTTTTTTACTTGTAAATAATTAAAATAATTTTTAAAAATTTTTAAAAATTCAAATTAGCCCTGTAAAAAATTTTTTTTCGGAGGCGTGGCTGCCACCACGCCCCCTTTTTCTGAAATTTTGGGGTCAGGGGCCCGGAAAAATCTTGGGAAACATCCCAAAAAAATTTTCGGGGTTATGGCCCGCAAAAACTTCAGGAAGCATACTAAAAATTTTTCGCTCCCCCCCCCCCCTTCGGAAATCCTGAGTACGCCACTGAAATCTCAGGATATCGATGAACTGCTCGCTAGCCATGAATTATCGAAAAATTCACAATCTTCAGATTGCACTTCTCTTGAACCGAACATGCTTACAAGGGAATGGTCAAAAAAAATCAAAGTGGCCAATCCAAACAAGCTGCATACCATTAGATGCAGCATAAATCACCGACTTCGAATCTGTATTCCTTATCTGCTAAGCGCCTATGTGGACGGAGTCATGAGCCGTTAAAAGCTGTTATTTTGCTAAGAAAATGAGCATGCATAGCGCAAATTTGGCAATACAGAGCCATGTTCGGGTTAAAGCTGAACCAAAACATGCAAATAGGTTACTTTTATTCTTAATGCTCAAAGGTGAGATGAAAGTGCAACACTCTGCTCAATTTCGCAATTACTACCTACGATTTTTTGGCAATTAAACTGCTTACGACTTCTCCACAAAGGCGGTAAGCAGACATGGATTACAGATTTGAAACCAGCTTTGAATGCTGCATCGAATGGTGTGCAGCTTGCTTGGATTGGCCACTTCGACTTCTGACCATTCCCTTGTTAGCTTAGCAGTGGTATCCTCAGTACAAGTTTGCAGCATTTTCATTGAGTTTTTAGAAAGATAAGTGACTCTGAAAATGAGAGGTGATCCTTCCATCCCCACCGTACTACACAGAATAGTGAAAATCTAATCTTGTATGGCAGTAACCCACCTGGCATTCATTATGCGCAGGTATCAGGTTATAAGATCCTTCAAAAGCCAGATAAAGAGGAAGAAAGATATCTAGAGTAGCGGGTGTGGCGTATAAGTATGACGCGTCCCCTCTCAGGTCCCTCACTTTCCGCGGGGCATACTGCACACGGGCCTCGCTGTTGCATTACCAAAATCTCATCATCCTTTGTTTGAGTAGACGGTGCCTTTGACTCGAGAAAAGCTCGTTTGTGACAATTTCGAGCTCACAAATTTGCATTTTTGGAGTTAACGAGACGAATAAGCCCGTTTACGGATATAGATCGAGGTGTTGCCGGGACGATTGTTTATTTGTGCGGCCATGAGTTATCAGTTTTCTTATGGTATGATTGTTTTGACGTTCAAAGTTGACTCAATATTTTATTTGTTACGATACACTTTGAGAGTGTTCGTTCCTTCAGTGCTGCTATGTCCTTTTTTTGCGTGTTTTGTAAGCAGTGAGGTGGACGTTTACATCTCGTATATTTTTTGTATAGAGGGAGCAAACATAGTTCAAGCAAATGCTATATTAACGATCCGCATTTGTCAGTTTATTCAAACTATTTGCCATTCCATCACAGAGAGGACTATGAATCGTGGAGACTGCTCAAGCTAAGAAGCTCGAAGTCGAAGTGGTGTTTCTAGATGTGAGGTATATTGTCAAGGAAGGTATGGAATCTTGATGCCAAGCGCTGAAGTGCAATTTTCGATTCATGGAGCAGAAATCTGGGCGTTGTCCAGAATGTTGCTATACAAAATTGTCTTGGATATGAGTTGTACTCGTGAAAATTTTATGTATTTCTCTCATAGTGTCAACAAAGTGTATTTTCTTGTATAAGAAGTATGCAAGCTGGCTTCAGTTCAAAAGCTAGTGGCGACACTAACGAACCTTGAGCTTAACACGTTTCGGAACAGTGCTGCACATGGTGCATCACCAAGCAACTGTCTCTTGCTTCGGGATCGTTCAGAGCGCGCACAAAGGCGCACGAAGGCGCCGTAACTGCCAAAGCGCAGGATTTGCCGGCAAGGTGCCATTATTTGGACTTTCAAAGGACTTGGACGAAGCTTTATTGGCTGATGGGCTGATAGGCAAAGCGTATACAGAACCACGAGCATTTATACGGAGTTTGACTTTATAACCTCTAAATAGTTAGCAATCTTTCCATATGTTTGGGTGAGTGTGTCAAGCAATGCTTTGTCGCGGCTGTGATTGATAAGACAATTATGATAAAATTCCAAACCTTAGTTCTTCTAGGAAATGCTAAGAATGCTATAGGAAAGTGAAAATATGTTACGATCTGCAAGTTGCAGAAACTTTCAGCCGTTAGCCAACAAAGGGACCTTAATTCGTAGATTGTGTGCTACATCTGTAATCAGCATGTCAGATAAGATCCATACCCAAAGTTTTGAGCGAATTCGAAGTGTTTAAATTTTTTCGTCTGAGAAGGACTCCCGTGCTTTCTTGAAAGATAGGAAGAAGAGCTCAGTTTCTAATAGTATCCAAAAGTATCTATGTTGTACACGATACACATCATTATTGGAACTACGGTCTTTCTCTTTGTATTCAAGCCTAAGAAAAGTTGCGACGTTGCACGCGTCGTTCGCATTGCCGCACTTCGTTGCAACTGATGCTCGATTTGTCCTCATATCTCTTGAACAGATATCGATGGCAGAGCTCTACAGACCTTTCGAAAAGGAGGAGCTTAGGCCTTCGACATGATAACCTTGGACAAAAGAAAACTTCCTGTAAACGTTGAAAGGGTCCTTCAAGGGCCCGTGGTGCACCATGTGCAGCACCGGTCCGAAACGTGTTAAGATCCACTCGTAGCAAGGTATAGGAGCATACAAGGTCTGACTGGAAAACAAATTTTTCCTTTTCAGAAAAACGTAAGCTTTCCCACTGCGGTTGAAGTAGCAAGCCATGCTCTACGGGTAGCAGAATCACGGATTTGGCTATTTGTTGATCCGTGGGGATTATTTAGTATATTGAACGCGAATATGGTGTTGATTTTGCTAAGTACGCGCGATTTTCTGTCGTTACAGTGTATATGGGCTACCGGATTGGATCAAACTTGTGACTAGTCATATCTATATTACATCACCCACTTCAAGTGCACAAAACGACTCTCAGGCGCGACCGAGAACATAATCGTGACAAGGATGCTGAAGAAGCTTCCTACATAAATTGTGAGCAAATCAGAGGTTACGAAGCTCGATTTGTATATTCATTTTAACCACACAGTAAGGCGCTTTTGTGCGGGAAAAGTGTGTATGATATTCGTGATCACCACGTCAGGAACCTCCAGTACCAAGTTTGAGAGAAATCCACGACTTTGACGGAGCCTGGAGATTGGTGTAGCCATGTGGCTCCTGCTTTTATTACAAAATGTAGGACCGTGACACGAATGGTGAACAATGTGGAGGTACCATAAGACCATTGCGAACACAACACTTGGCGCAGTTATGCATGAACCTAGCTCAAGATTATACAGCAGAAAGGTCGATCTTTAACGTCTCTCGTGCTGCACATGGTGCAGCACGAAATTTCGCGCGATTTCGCGATCCGAAACATGATGAACTCTGCCTTGGGATCGTACGCTGGTTCGCAACGAACAATGAATCCTTGACCCAGGGGTTACTTCTATCAAGAGGTGAAGTAGCCAAAAAACGATTGACCTTTTTCATGAAACACTTCAAGGTTGCAGTAAACCTTGAAGTGTAAATCAACCTGCATCACTGCCTCAAGGTTCAATTTAAGGTAGTTGGCTAATCCAATGTGAATATGGAATCAATGCGTGTTAGTGTTACCTGAGGCTCCTTTTGAGGCGTGCTATAAAGAGTACATCAGTTAAAAAGCTTTGAACAGGCGACCTGCGCGCGTCGGTAGTGTGGTTGAATGCTGACTACGATAGGCGTGGCAATGTAGGTCATAAGCATCGGGTCAACAAACATATATACCTCAGCAGGTGGCATGTTCCTTATGGTACTTTGGCAGCAGATCTCATACACCAAAGAAGGTGTCGATATTATGAGCACACTCTAACATGGAATAATTAGGCGTAGTTACTTTCACCAGGGCTCGGTACAGCTGGCACCGGGTCAAGCTAGATATCGTTTTTAGGGCGGGAAGCAAAGGGGATATCGTTTTTTCGGGGTCCGCGGCGGAGAAGTGCCGCAAGAATGCCGCCGGCATGCCACCGGCATGCTGGTCCATCAACAAACAAAGTCCTCGTTCTCAGCCAAAATGCAATAGTATGACACCAATTTGGTGTGTGCATGCGCGTTGGTGGACCGGAACTATAGCCCAAAAATTTATGAACACCTTATGTGAATGAAAGCTGTGCCGAACTTTTTTCTGAATTAGCTGGCACCGTGCCAGCTGGGTGCCAGCTGAGCTGGCACCGACACTTTGCTCACATAAATTTTCATACTTTTCTACATAAAATGTATCTATACTGTAAAAGTTTACATACAGAGAAGAAACATTTTCATAATGTTTTCTTTTCAGCGTTTTATAGCAATTTTAAAATTACTCGGTCTGCTCCGCAAACGAAAAATCGGCTTTTTCTGCTTCTCAAGATGGGATTCAACCACATGAAAAGCTCAGAAATTTGTGAAAAGTGGTTCCATGAAACTGCATGAAAACCCTACTACATACTTTTACATAATCCAAAAATAATGACTTGTCTTCAAAACTGGTCAAAGGGGACTTCGTACGAAATTTACAAAATCAAACGGGACTCCGTTTCGAAATTTCCCTGGTGCCAGCTCGTGCCGAGCCCTGACTTTGACGTATGATATTGTTTGCTCGCTTGCCATAGAGTAGGGAGAGCACTGCTAATGCACCATGGCGACTTATGATATCGAGGGAGTACAAAAGAAGAACGGTACCCTCATTGGAGATTTATTAGTAG